CTTCACGAGACGCAGCCAAGTGGAGCACCAAGACAGGAAGAGAAACCAAGTACTCCATGGGGACTGGCCAAGCTGGCAGAGCCCCCACGCCCATCTACTCCACCTTATCCTTCCAGCATAGCATGTCCCTCAGCCAGCAAGGCCTGTTCCCAGGAGTCAGGCCCAAAGCTTTCTATTGTCCCTGCTCCCTAAGAAAAGTGGCACTTTCCTTCCCAGATGTCAACTATGAATTCTACTTACTGGAGCCAGGCCTGGCAAGCACAGCCACAAAGATGGTGAAGCCCAGAGCCACAAGGTGGGCAGCAGCCCCAGAGGCAGTGCGCAGAGCTCGGTAGATGTGCGACTCGGTCTCCATAGAAAGGGCCATGGTCAACCACGCCGGTGGCTGTAACCTGAAAGCATAGTAGAGTGGGCAAGGGTCTCAGGTGCCCAATGTGCACTCCTCTCACTGGAGCAAGGGTTACAGAGTAGGAATGCCACCCTCTTCCAAGAAGTTAAGGTGGGAAGGAACAGTACAAAGACAGGCACCAGGAATGCCTGAAGACCGGCGTCCTTTCAGCGTGTACCCGCATCTGAACTGGCACTGATCATTGGCCCACCTTCCAGGTAGGATACGCAAGGCCATGTATCACACTACAAATCCCAGTGTGCACCACGCCGTCGCCGGGCGGAAGCGCCAGCTGGAACGGCGTGAAGTACTACGGTAATTGTAGTTCCCAGCTGCCGCCGCATTACAGCGTGAATCGCTGCACGCACTGCCTCCCCACATGCCGCTAGCATGCTGCCCCTACACGATGGGGCTTCGCCTGTCTCACCCGCAGCGCCGACCCGATGCAGTGGTTTCCTCCCGAGAAAACGGGATACTCAGGGCCCTGCCGCGCGCGCCGCCGCTCCGTCGCGGAGCCGCTTCACTTCCGGGTGCGACGTCTACCCACCCGGACATCCTGGTACGAGCTCCCCCCCGCCCCAACCTATGAATCGCGCTGCGCAGGCGCTGTTGAGCGGACGGCTACACGGGTTTGAGAATGCGCAGGCGTGGGTGACCCGGCGGCCCAGACCTCGGGGCTGTTTCTGACAGGTGTTCCCAGGGGTCGGAGAGGACCTGGGCCCCGCTAGCGCCATGGGCAGTGGCTGCCGCATCGAATGCATATTCTTCAGCGAGTTCCACCCCACGCTGGGACCCAAGATCACCTATCAGGTGCCATCCGGGCTCGCAGGGCTGGGGAGAAAGGGAGAGGGACGCTATCGGGAGCTCAGTCGGCTGCCTCGAGGCAGTGGATCCCCGTGCTGCACGCGGGCACGCCACTCCTTCATTCTCGGAGAATCGTGAACCAAGAAGATAGTCAGACCCAGGTCCCCTGCTCCCGGTGTGCCGGGGCAGACAACCATCACATGGCAGTGACTGTGGGAAATCGGACTGTGGAGGCCCAGGGGAGGTGCCAGTTCCCAGGAGAGGTGAATGTGGGTGGTCAGTATCCCTGGATGCATAGGAATTTAGGTCAGTGTGCCAGGTAGAAGGAACAGCATATGCAAAAGCAAGGAGGCAGGTGAAAACTGTGTGTGTTTGGAAACACAAAGAAGTAGTAGCCTGGGTGGATGAGAGAGAGGAGAAACGCTGGAGAAGAGGGCTTAGGCTTTGGGACTCACCTTGTGTACTCTGCCTAATCCCAAGGTCCACTAAGGGATCTCTTGCCACTCCCCTCCCCAGGTCCCTGAGGACTTCATCTCCCGGGAGCTGTTTGACACAGTCCAGGTGTACATCATCACCAAACCAGAGCTGCAGAACAAGCTCATCACTGTGTGAGACCCTAGCTGGGGGGTGGAGGAGGTCCCCAGAAGGAGTGGACAGGTTTGGGGGTGGGAGGAGCCTGACTCTGTTCCCACCTGTTTCCCCCATCCAGCACAGCTATGGAGAAAAAACTGATCGGCTGCCCCGTGTGCATCGAGCACAAGAAGTATAGCCGCAATGCCCTGCTCTTCAACCTAGGCTTCGTGTGTGACGCCCAGGCCAAGACCTGTGCCCTTGAGCCCATCGTCAAAAAGCTGGCTGGCTACCTGACCACACTGGAGGTCTGCAACACAGTGGGCTTGGGTGGATAGGCAAGCAGAGTTGGGGAAGGTGTTCCCATGTCTCTAAAGCCCTCCAGACCAGGGAACCTTCCAGGACAGGATGCCAGCCAGGGGTCTTGATGTGTGCCCACCATGCTGTCCATCCTCTGTCCAGCTAGAGAGCAGCTTCGTGTCCACGGAGGAGAGCAAGCAGAAGTTGGTGCCCATCATGACCATCTTGCTGGAGGAGCTAAATGCCTCAGGCCGGTGCACTCTGCCCATCGGTATGGCCCAGCCTCTGCAAGGACAGCAGAGGAGTAGAGGAGGGATGGGAAAGTGGCAAGGGAAGGTGAACCCAGCCAAGCACAAGACTTATGAACAAATTGGTGGCCAGGACATAGCCATGAGCTGGGCTGATGATGGCCAGGGTCCAGTGAATGTTGGGGCTGGGGCTGGGGCGGCCAGCAGAGCTCTCCAACTCTGCTCCTTGGGCATATTCCTTCCCCTTTCTGGACCTCAATCTCTTGCTCAATAAAAGGGGAAGATTGGCCCTACCACCTGCCTGCCTCAAGGGTTGCTGGCAGCACTGGATGGTAATTGAAGGCCTCTTGGAAAAGATGTCACTGAGGATATGGGTGGGGCCTCCTGCAGATGAGTCCAACACCATCCACTTGAAGGTGATTGAGCAGCGGCCTGACCCTCCTGTGGCCCAGGAGTATGATGTGCCTGTCTTTACCAAGGACAAGGGGGATTTCTTCAACTCACAGTGGGACCTCACCACACAACAGGTGTGCCAGCCCCCCACCCCCACCCTGGGTATCATCACCTGGGGCTAGCCACAGCCCTGGCCTCATCCCACCCCTACTGACCCTGCCCTGCCTAGATCCTGCCCTACATTGATGGTTTCCGCCACATCCAGAAGATCTCGGCTGAGGCAGATGTGGAGCTCAACCTGGTGCGCATTGCCATCCAGAACCTGCTGTGAGTGGGGCAACAGTCACATCCAGAATAGGGTCGCAGGCAAGGAATAGCCCAGGGGCCCTGAGTGTGGGCGCTGGGAAGGCATGGCCCTCAGAAGCTGAGCACAACTATCTCCTCCAGGTACTATGGTGTTGTGACACTGGTCTCCATCCTCCAGGTAGGTGAGTCTGGGGTCTGGTTAAGTGGAGAGTGGATCATGTGGCTGGGCCAGACTGGAGTTGTGTCAGACTTCCAAGCCCCTCACTCTTGCTGCTGTGCCTTCTGCTACCCTTCAGTACTCCAATGTGTACTGCCCGACACCCAAGGTCCAAGACTTGGTAGATGACAAGTCCCTGCAGGAGGCGTGTCTATCTTATGTGACCAAGCAAGGTAGTGGTGGGCTCTGGGGGAGGCCACATCAGGGAGGGCAGGGCCACCTGGAAAGCTGACCCCTGGTGCCTACAGGGCACAAGAGGGCCAGTCTTCGAGATGTGTTCCAGCTGTACTGCAGCCTGAGCCCTGGCACTACTGTGAGAGACCTCATTGGCCGCCACCCCCAGCAGCTGCAACGTGTTGATGAACGGTCAGAGGGGGATTCCCTGGGGCATGATGGGTTTGCCACTGGGCAGGTACACTCTCTACGTCTCCCCGGAGCCCTGGGTCAGAGAGGAAGCAGGAGATTCTCAGTGAGCAGCATCATGTGGCACTGCTAGTCCAGACAGGCTTCCTGGAGGTGATAGGTTTGGAGGCCAGTCTGGTCACTGAGACAAAGTTGGAGGGGAGACTGCAGAAAAGAGTTGGCCTGGCTGGAAGGAGACCTGGCTGGGGCATCACCTCTCTCTCCCTCGACCCCCACCCCAGGAAGCTGATCCAGTTCGGGCTTATGAAGAACCTCATCCGGCGATTACAGAAGTATCCTGTGCGGGTGTCTCGGGAGGAGCGGAGCCACCCTGCCCGGCTTTACACAGGCTGCCACAGCTATGATGAGATCTGCTGTAAGACAGGTAGAGGCAAACAGGATAGCTAAGGTGGGGTCAGGGCAGGGTGGCCAAACCAAGGTTGCTGACCTCACTTCCACCACCCCACCCAGGCATGAGCTACCATGAGCTGGATGAACGGCTGGAAAACGATCCGAACATCATCATCTGCTGGAAGTGAGGCTGGTGGGGGCTGGACCTGGCTCACCACTGTGGCTACTGTCTCCTGCTAAGCCCTGCCTGGTGCATGAGGGCTAGACCAGCAGACTAGTCTATACTGTCTCCAAGTTGACCCTCACTTCTGTAAATAAAATCATCCATTTCCACCTACCTTTATTGAGTACTGCCTCTGAGCCAGCCACCCAGAAGCATCAGTGAATGACATAGGTAGCCATGGTCCTGACGCCTTGGAGGGCCATCTGGTGGGGGGCAGGACCAACAATGGACAAGTAAATGTACCCGCTAATTATAAACTGAAATAACAGCCAGAAAGAAACAATCAGGAAGCTGTGATGAAAAGTGAGTTGGGATGGGAGCTGGGACTGCTCTGGATTAGATAGGCAAGGAAGGCCTCGCTAAGGTGACTTGAACTGAGCTCTGAAGCAGGAAGAGTATTCCACCAAACGGAACAGATGCAGAAGCCTTGAAGCAAAAACTGATTTGGGATGTATGAGGAACCCAAAGGAGGTCCGTGGGGCTGGAACATAGGAGGCAAGGGGGAGAGGGGCAAGAAATGAAGTCCTGAGGTACCCGAGGGGGCAAGAGCTTGATACCGCAGAGCTGCTGGTAACCTACTTTGGACGTAGTATTCTGACGGCCAGAGGCAGCCACAGAGTCACTCTCATGCGAGGGAGAGATGTCTAATGCGCATCTTGAAAAGACTCCTCGCTGCTTAGGAGGGTCAGAGAGGAAGTGGGTCCTCTTCCCACTTCCTCTCTGAGGAAAAAGGCCACAGCAGTTACCTCATGAGAGGTGATGGCAGCCTGGATTAGGAGGGAGAGAAGTTGTGGGCCGTGGGTAGAGCCAACAGGTGGAGCTGGGCGCAAGAAATACTGGAGCGAGGAAGCCACTGAGAGGAGCATCCTTGTGGGCCGAGCTGGAGCAGCTGAATGAAGAGCTGGTAGGGGGCGGGATGACCCCATCCCCGTGCAAGCCGACGTGACGCCCGTCCGAAGAAAGAGCCTAAGCCACAGGAGTCTGGAACTCAGGGAGACCTCTGAGCCGCAGGCAGTTGTGAGGGAGAAAGCTCCGGAAGTCCATATAGGGTTGCTACCCGCAGCCTGGCAAGAGAGGTGGACAGGGGCGAGTCCGGACCCTGAGCGCGCCGCCGGCGGGGGCGGACCCAGGCCGCAGTGCGCAGGCGCGCGCCGAGCTAACCGTTTCCATGGCGGCGAGGACCCACGCGCCCCAACCGCTCTTCAACTGTCGGGTCCCAGGCTTCTGCCCCGCCGAAGGCCGTTGTGCCCGAACGTGTCAGCACCCCCGCCTCAGCCCTGGCTCCTGCCTGGGGTCAGCCGAACCCCACCTTCCCACTCTGTCCCTGGCCTCGACATGAGCCACCTGGAGCTGCTGCTGCCTGGGGAGGCTGACTTGCTGATTAGAGGACTGCGCAGCTTCCCGCTGCGCGAGATGGGCTCCGGAGGGTGAGGCAGCTGGATCAAGGGTCTCGCGGAGTCATGGGGTCACAGTCTTTGAGGTGGGCCTGACATTGGGCGGAGGGGTTGCCCAGTGTGGAGAGGACTCCAGGTAGGGAGGCAGAGCTCTCCAAGATAGGGGTATATGGTCCTGAGTCCCCTCTGGTCGCTCAGGATCGGGTTAGGCTTCAGTAGGACTTAGCCCCCACTCCCGCCCCTACTGCACACATGTGCACCTAAATGCACACACACCCCTCTGAGGCAGGTGGAACCAGCAGCATGAGAACCTGGAGAAGCTGAACATGCAGGCCATCCTTGATGCCACGGCCAGCCAGGACGAGCCCATCCAGGAGCTGCTGGTCACCCATGGGAAGGTACGCTGGGGTCACAGGCAGGGTTCCTGCCTTCCCACCCCCTGCCCCACCACTCTACCCCTCACGAGCCCCTGGGTGCGGGGCCTGGGTTGATTAGGGAGATAGTCCTAGAGAGATGGATCCTAGAACAGCCTAGGCTGCAAGGGGAGGGCCCAAGTTCTAAAGACATTCTTGAGGGGGCCTGCCCGGTGGCGTAGGGGTTAAGTTCGTGCATTCTGCTTTGGCGGCCCGGGGTTCACTGGTTCTGATCCTGGGTGCGGACATACCGCTCATCAAGCCATGCTGAGGTGGTGTCCCACATAGAAGAGCTACAACTCTACAACTATGATACACAACTATGTACTGGGGCTTTGGGGAGAAAAAAAGAAAAAGAGGAAGATTGGCAACAAATGTTAGCGCAGGGCCGATCTTCCTCAAAAAAAAAAAAAATCTTAAAGGCATTCTTGAATAGACTGTAAGGCCAGAAGGGGCCACACTGAAGTGGGGGTGGGACTCGTGCATGGAAGGAGGCAGCTTTCCCAACGTGAGAGAGAGGGAGTTAGAAACCAGGGATTGGCTTGGCTAGAACATGAGCCAGGAGGTGACACCAGTAGATGACCTGAGATATCACCTGACAAAAGAGATCCTCTGCAAGTAAAAGGTGGAGCCCCCTACTGAGGGGTGGGGTAGGAATAGGGCACTGTGACGGGCCCTGAGTAAGGGTGAAGCCAAGGCACACAAGAGCCTTGGAAGGCCAGAGGATGGGGACAAGAGGGAAGGCATAAGCAGAAGAGCTGGCCTGAGAGGGACACCTGGATGGTGGAGGAGGGGACAAGGGCACAGGTACAGGGGAAACAAGGCAGCCTGGGGAATAAGGTAAGGGTCAGTCACAGGAAGCATGGAGGATGTCCCCACAGAGATGTCAGGGGCAGCTGGAAATGAAGGTCTAAGGTGCAGGAAAGAGGTTAGGAAGGTACTCATGGGGTCTGGGAGAGTGTAGGGGCCCAGGGGAGTTTGTTGAGAGCTGGGCTGGGCTGGGCTGAGCCAGAGATGGGAGGGTTGCCAGGCCAAGGTAGGCCTACCTCATCCCTGTCCTTTCCCTGCCCCGCAAAGATCCCAACGCTGGTGGAGGAGCTGATTGCAGTGGAGATGTGGAAGCAGAAGGTGTTCCCTGTGCTGTGCAGGCTAGAAGACTTCAAGCCCCAGAACACCTTTCCCATATACATAGTGGTGAGCTAGGTTCCTGGTTCACACCCCCACCCACCCCTTCAGAGAGCCCTGGATGACAGAGGATAGCTGGTAGTCCTATCCCTCCCTCAGCAGCCCCGGTCCCTGTCATCTATCTGACAGGTACACCATGAGGCCTCCATCATCAACCTCCTGGAGACAGTATTCTTCCACAAGGTGAGGCACCAGCCCTGCCCACAGGCTACTGCCCCAGGCCAGAGCCTGGGAGCAAGGGGGGTTGTGTCTGTACGGGAGGGAATCAGAGACAGAATGTTTCCCCTGCTCCTGCCTCCCAGAAGGTGTGTGAGTCAGCAGAGGACACCATCTTTGACCTAGTGGACTACTGCCACCGCAAACTGACTCTGTTGGTGGCCCGGAGTGGCCATAGTGGCCCCCCTGAAGACAATGAGTCCCAGTACAGCACCCCTATGCAGGTGGGCTGAGGTTCCCTGGGGTTGGCATGGGCTAGACCTAGGCTCCCTGAGGCCTGAGCAGGCAGGGGGTGGCCCAACTTGAGCACCATGTGGCCCCCTAGGAGCTGCAGAAGCAGGCAGAGCTGATGGAATTTGAGATTGCACTGAAGGCCCTCTCAGTGCTACGCTACATCACAGACTGTGTGAACAGGTGGGCAGCCCTGCTGTGCCTGGGGCCTGCAGTGGAGAGCTGGGAGCCTGGGCCATAGCCTTTGCTCACCTCTCTCCACCCCCACCCTTAGCCTTTCCCTGAGCACCTTGAGCCGCATGCTTAGCACCCACAACCTGCCCTGCCTCCTGGTGGAACTGCTGGAGCACAGTCCCTGGAGCCGGAGGGAAGGAGGTAAGGTCCTCCTCCACCTGCCCCAGCTCACTGCTTCCAGGACATCCTCCAGGATGAGAGTGGGCAGCTTACACAGGCAGACAAGCTCTGCCCCTAGCCCACAGAGGATACCAGGATGCCTCACCCAAGGTGGGTCTAGACCTGGGCTTGCAGCAGGCAAGGCCTGTGTGTCCACTACCAAGGAGTCACCCTGTTGTAGAGTGAGCAGCACTCCAACCTGGGCAAGTCCTATGCCCAGGCAGTGGTCAGTCCCCCAGACCATGCAGCTGGTTCACTCGAAGTGTATGCAATGCCTGCACCCAGTGTGCTGGTTCCTCTCCCCAGGCAAGCTGCAGCAATTTGAGGGCGGCTGTTGGCAGACAGTGCCCCCCCCAGAGCAGCAAAAGTTGAGCAAGTTGGACGGGCAGGTGTGGATTGCCCTGTACAACCTGCTGCTAAGCCCCGAGGCCAGGGCCCGCTACTGCCTCACAAGCTTTGCCAAGGGACAGCTACTCAAGGTGGGGAACTCCTCCAACACCAGTCCCAGCACTGCCACACCCCACCCCACCCCTGCTGCTTATCTTTGCCCACTCACCTCAGCCCCAGTCCTCTTTCCAGACCTTGAGCCTCAGGTGCCACAACAGCTACTGGGACATGAGCCCACAGGCACCCTCAGCCCAGCCCAGCCCTGGCCCTCTCTGTTCCTTGACCCTCTGGTCAGCATCACTTCACACTGGCCTCCCCTGGACACCCTTGCAGCTTCGGGCCTTCCTCACAGACACGCTGCTTGACCAGCTGCCCAATCTAGCAGACCTGCAGGGTTTCCTGGCCCACCTGGCCTTGGCTGAACCCCAGCCCCCTAAGAAGGACCTGGTGTTGGAACAGGTAAGCACTAGGAATTTAGTTGCTCAGAAGTAGTTAGTTGCCCACTTTGCCAGCTTCTCCCTGACACTCTCCAATTTTCTCCCTCAGATCCCAGAAATCTGGGAGCGCCTAGAGCAAGAGAACAGAGGCAAGTGGCAGGCTATTGCTAAGCACCAGCTGCGGCATGTATTCAGCCCCTCAGAGCAGGACCTGCGGTTGCAGGCACGAAGGTGAGGCCTGAGCTGGCAGAAGAGGTGGAAGAGATGCAGAAGGCCTGGACATGGGCAGGGGTGCTCCTGTGCTCCCACTGGCCAGGCCTAGCCAGGCTCTCCTGACCCTTTTTCTCAGATGGGCTGAGACCTACAGGCTGGACGTGCTAGAGGCAGTAGCTCCAGAGCGGCCCCGCTGTGCCTACTGCGGCACAGAGGCCTCCAAGCGCTGTTCACGATGCCAGAATGAGTGGTATTGCTGCAGGTGAGGGCATCCTAGGACCTTGGACCCCTAAGCCCCACTCCCATACCCCCCACAAGCACTGCATCCTCACCAGGCCACCTGCCTGCAGGGAGTGCCAAGTCAAGCACTGGGAGAAGCATAGAAAGGCTTGTGTCCGGACAGCCCAGGGTGACAGAGCCAAGTGAAGGCTGCAGCTGCTGAGGGACAACCACCCATGCGATACAACCCACCTTGAGTGTGCCCCTGAACCTAGGGATCTCAGCCCGGCCTCTGCCAGAGCCCCAGCCTCCCAGGTGGTGAACACAGCCGACAGGGTAGAGCTGCTGACCCATCTCCCCCAGCAAAGCGCTGCCGGCTTCCTGCCCCACCCGGCGGGTAGGCTGAGGGCGCTGCCTCAGCAACCTAGGGCAGGAGGCCTGGGCGGAGGGCGAGGGCGAGGGCCGGATGTGGGGACCCTCTTCCTCTAGCACTGTAAAGCTGGCCTCCAGAAACATGCCTGTCTCCGAGTGGTCCTTTGCGGTCGTCGTCGTCGTTAGGGGAGGGGAGGAAAGGGAGGGCGGGGACTCTGGGAAAGGCCCCCACCCCGCCCTCCCACCCCACTCCGCCTGCGGGCGGACACAGTCCCGGCGCCCAGGTTTCCATTGCGCCGCTCTCCTCGGCGCTCTCCCGCCGCTGTGCCTGGATCGCTGACGCGGCGCCGCCTCGAGACCGTCCCACGGCCTCGCCCGCTCCGCGCTCGCTCGCGCCCAGAGCCGGCCGGAGTCCGGGCCCGACTGGGCCATGTCCGCTGAGCCTGAGCTCATTGAGCTGCGGGAACTGGCACCCGAGAAGCGCGCCGGCCCGGGCCGCACCCGGCTGGAGCGCGCCAACGCGCTGCGCATCGCACCGGGCACAACGCGCAACCAAGCAAGGCAGCTGGTCCCGAGCCGCGGCCACCGCTTCCAGACCGCGGAGCCCGCCACGCACACGTGGTGCGACCTCTGCGGCGACTTCATCTGGGGCGTCGTGCGCAAGGGCCTGCAGTGCGCACGTGAGTAGCGGCCCCCGCGCGCTGGTGAAACGAAACGAGCGGCCAAGGGGCAGCACTGTCGCTGCGGGTCAAGTTGCGACGGAGGGGGTAGAGGCAGGGACGGGCCCCGCGAACCAGGTCCGTTATCTTTGCCCCATCGCGGAAGTCTTTGGGCAGATGGTTTTATATCCTTGCCGTGCTCCATCTGCGTCTGGGGCACAGCTGGACAGAGGTGGTTGCCTGTGAATAACAAGGTGCAGATTTCAAGGTTCTTACCTTTAAAGTGCCTTTGCCCTTCTTGAGAAAGGCCTACCAGTCTCTGAGTCCATATTCCCAGGCCTGCTCCTTCCTGAAGATTCACTTACCTGTGTCCCCTCCAGAATCCTTGGGGTGAAGGGAATTTACCCACCTATGGGAGGGGTCCTGGAAAAAGAATCTTGGGTGGGCCCTCACAAGCAGGAATTTTGTTGTCTTCATTTAGCAAATACTTACTGCAGGCCCAGTCAACCAGGTGCTAAAACATGAAACACAGCCACACACCAGCAGTCCTTCTGCCCTCCCAGGAATCACCAGCAAGCAGAGGTTGCTCTCCCACTGGCTACACACCAGCTAGAATCACTTGGGATGCTTTTACAGCCCTCCAAACCCCTGTGCCTGGACCCTACCTTAGACCTGTTGAATCAAATCACTGAGTATATGAGTGTATCAGCGATTTTTAAACACGGATCATTCTAATGTGCAGCCTGGGTTGAGAATCATGTTCTGGCCCGTGTAGGAGCTTTAGGGAAGGTATCCTAGGCCTGTGTGGGTATGGAGACTCTCTCGTCCAGCAGGGAGTCTGTCCTGAATTCTGGGAGGAACACAGGAGTTGTGACAGAATACAAAGCATGAACAAGGACTGGGACATTGCAGTGTTCCCAAAGAGAAATAAAGTGGCCATGGAGATGAAAAACAGGACAATTTGGGTGTGTGTCAGGCAAAGACAAGGGAGGACTCAAGGATGAGCTGGGGTTTTTTGCCTTTTGTGTGTGTGTGTGTGAGGAGATCAGCCCTGTGCTAACATCTGCCAATCCTCCTCTGTTTTTGCTGAGGAAGACTGGCCCTGGGCTAACATCCATGCCCATCTTCCTCCACTTTATATGGGACGCCGCCACAGCATGGCTTGCCAAGCAGTGCGTCAGTGTGTGCCAGGATCCGAACTGGCGAACACCAGGCCGCTGCAGCGGAGCGCACACACTTAACCACTTGCGCCACCGGGCCAGCCCAAGGGGTTTTTTGCCTTAAACAACTGGAATAATAGCAATTTTTGCTGAGATGAACTCTGGTAAGGGTAGGGTGAGGTGGAAGAAAAGTGAGTTAAATTGTGACCATGTTGGGTTGAAATGTCTATTAGACATCCAAGTGAAGATACTGACACACAGATTTGACCTGAGCGGGGAGGTCAGTGATGGAAGCCTTGGATCCGGGGTTGGTGAGTGTACACAGCACAGGGCAGTGATCAGGACTGAGCCTCGGACACTCCACCATTAGATCTGGAAGTTGAGACAGAACCAAAGGAGCTGAGCAGGAGCTGCAGGGAGGTGGGAGGAAAAACTGGGAACCAAGGGGAGCAAGCATCAAACGATGCCGAGGACGTGAAGATGCAAAAGGGACGTGATTCGGCAGTGCAGTAGGTTGCTGAGGATCCGGAGCAGGGCAGTTGCCTGGAGGGAAGGGCAAGCCTGACTGGAATGGGTAGAGGAGAGAGTGAAGGCAAGGAATTAGAGTGTATGCAGACCAGTGTTGATAACTTTTGGCGTGAGGGGAGTAAGACAGATGACAACTAGAGGGGGACATGGGTTAAAGATGTTTGGTTTTTTCCCTTCAAGTACATGGGCGGAGAGAGGGGGGCTGACAATGCGGAAGGGGGAAGTTCTGCCCTAGGCGCTAGTGTTGAGCAGGCCTGGATCCCTAACCGCCTGAAGCCTTCCCACCAGGTTCCAGACGCCAGGGAACCAACACTAGAATCTGTGTAGCAGTGGGCGGTAACGGGGCCTGAGATAAGGCCGGTCATGCAGAGCTTGGCGGGCAACGGCCTTCCCCCTGGGGCTTCTCTTCCGTCCCCGGGACACTTCTCCGAGCTGGAGCTGGGACTCCTCCACCTCACGGCCAGGCCTCTCTGCAGATTGCAAGTTCACCTGCCACTACCGTTGCCGCGCGCTCGTCCGCCTGGACTGCTGCGGGCCCCGGGACCTGGGCTGGGAACCGGCGCTGGAGCGGGACACAAACGTGGTGAGCGCGGGGCCGGGGGCGTATGGGCGAGGCAGGGACGCGCAGACGAGCAGGCCACACTGCAGGTGTTTCTAGGACCGCCCGGCATTACACGCAATGAGCGTTCTAATAGCGGATTTCCCTGCGGCAGAGAGTGGCTAACTCTGCGCGCGGCTTCGAAGGGGTGCCTGGGGTGCTGACTCCGCTCGGACTGCCCGGAATCTCCCAGGCGCCGCGCCCACGCAATTTCCGCACCTCTCCGCTTCCGGTCTTGTGGCCACGCTGGTGCACATGCGCATAAGCTCCGACTTGTCCCCTACGGGAGGTGGGTTAGCTGCAGCGAGGCGGAGCTGAGCTGAACGGCCTGGGCGATGAGATCATTCCTGCAGGCGAGGCGTGTGTGGCCCCGCCCTTCGGCTTTCCTCCCCCAATGAGACGAGAGCTAGATCCTGGCTGTCTACGTTTCAGTGTTAACGGTTGCCGCGCGTACAGCGGTCTGGGCGCCCGCGCACGCTGACACGCGCGCGCAAGCGCACAGGCGCCTGGGGCGGTGGTTAGAGACTACCGGCACAGAGGACTTGGGGAGCGGGCGGGCGCGGCGATGGGCGAGGCGGACGCGGGGACGCCTTCTTTCGAGATGACCTGGAGCAGCACGACAAGCAGTGGCTACTGCAGCCAGGAGGACTCGGACTCCGAGCTCGAGCAGTACTTCACGGCGCGTACCTCGCTGGCGCGGAGGCCGCGCCGGGACCAGGTGGGAGCCCGGGGGTGCGGGCGGCGGGCCCGGGGCGGTCGCTGGGACCCCGCCCCTCCCCGGTAAGTTGCTGGGTCGAGAGTTTGTGGGCAGTCCCGCCCTCCCGTCAGCGCAGATTCGGAACCTGCCCGGGGCCAGCACGCGGAACCGTGTGTCGGGCTCTCAGCGCCTCGGTACCAGGTGCCGAGGCCTCCTTGCTGTCTGTTACAGACCAGTTGAACCAGAGGAAGAAGCTACGTGGCTTGGGGTAGACCAGGGATGGGCATTATCCACCTATGACTAAAGCCTACTGTGCAGCCTGGACTAGCACCTCAATTTCCGCGTTCGGGCCGCTCCCACCCCCTCTCTGGAGGACAAGGAGGAGGAAGTGGAGGGGGAGGAGTCCTCGCCGGGAATTGAGAAGTGTGTTTAGGAGAAAGGCGAAGGAAGGTCCGGGCCCCTCCATCTACACTCCTGGATGGAGCCAGCTGAGTCCCCACCTCTTGCCGGTCCTAGCCTGTCACCAGCTGCTGGAATGTGGAGGATTCTGATCCCTCCTCTGAAGTGGACCTGGAGTGCTCGCTTTGACAGTACATATACTAAAATTGGAGTGGACCTGGAGAAAGGGGATTTGGGAATGGATGGGAAGGAAGACTTGTTTTGGATTGTAAGCATCCAGGAGCACTTTATTAACAAGAGGTGGGGAAGGCTAGATTGAAAAATGCCCTGAGAGGGGTCAAGAGAGATAGAGGTTACTAATCTAGGACTATAAGGTGTGGTGCTGGAGTAGCTGTGCCTCTTGGAGTTTTCTAAATGTCTCCATTATCAAAGGCCTCTGTGCTGTGTGCCATGAATGTGACCACCAGGCTCAGATAATTGTTATGGAGCTGGTTCACCTCAGGGGAGCACCCCAGCCAGGGCATCAGGAAAGAGAGATGGGGACCATGAAGCTCAGTATACCTGGCAGCAATGGGGCAGAATTTCTTACGTGAGCCAAGAAAAGGGAGTTGTGGATGATTCTTTAGATGAAAATTTTATACCTTAAAAGTTCAACCCATAGCTTGAGTGCAAGGTTTGCGTGTGGGTCCCTGGGACTGTCTCTGTGTCACTCAGACCCGAGCCATTTTCCATTTTGGAAAGGTGAGAAAACAACAAGACACTAACCGATTGAAAAGGACTAGGGAGTCCCAAGTTATGTGTAAAATAAAACCATCAGTCACTATGGACAGTGGCAGAATGGAGGGTGGGTCGCTTTGGTGGAGGAGAAGGGAAATTCCATGGTCCTCTGTGCATCCCTCTGGGATGGCTGTTGGACACCTCCTCCAGCAGGTAGCTTTGGAAATGAAAAAAAAACTCCACTTCCTCTAGAATCCTGGTAGGACAGTGCAGTGCTGCCAGTCCAAGTCTCTCGTTTTATGAATAAAGATACTGAGGGAGGTTCACCTGGAGAAGGGAAGGGGCTGGAACCGAGGTCACTGCATCCCAGTCCAGGGCTCCTGGATAACCCAGACAGGGAAGAGGAAGGAGCAAGTTTTCTCATTCCCAGGCTGGAGCTCAGACCTATCACAAGGAAGAGGAATAAGTTAGTGTCATCCCTATACCCATCCTGTTCTAGAAACAGAATTCTCTTCCTTCCTGCCCTGGCACTAGAGTCTGCTCAGCTTTCCTCCTGCCCCTAGCATCCCTCCCATCCTGACACTCCTCTCCATTGAGGTACTCCATCCTGTACCAAGCCCTCTCCTTGGGCCTGAGCAAACACATTCACCCTTTTTTTTTTTTTTTTTTAATTTTTTGTTTATTGCAGTAACATTGGTTTATAACATTGTAAAAATTTCAGGTGTACATCATTGTACTATTTCTGCATCACATTCACCCTTTATTCCCAGCCTCCAGCCCTCATTTTATCCCCTAGATCCCCCATTTTCCAGGGCCCACACCATTTGTTCTTACCAGCCTTGCAGGATTTCCCACTGTCCCCAAGAAGGTTTCTGCTAGAGTTTTCACTTCTCAATGCTCTCCTCCATCCAGGAAACCTTTCCAAACTTGGGGAAGCAAAGAGGCTTCAGTTCCCACCCCTCTCCCAATACCTTTTTCCTGTGAGGCCCCAGCCTCAGTCCTCAGCACCATGTACTTGCTGGCTGCTGAACAGCAGCAGATTCTAAGTGAAGAGCTAAAAGGTTGTGAACTCCACCTTACCCCCTTATCTGCCCTCCCTATTCATCCCCATCAGATGATTTAAGCTTATGGGCCTCCAAGGCAGCAATCAGGGAGAAGCTCAGATTGTCCTGAGCTCATAGCTAGGCACAAGGTTATTCTGCAGGAGACCTGGTGGGAACTCCCCTGGGACAAAGCATTGGTCCGTGATGATCTCAGTTGTGTCTGTGACACTCCCATTCCAACTAGGGCCTATCTGACGTCAACAGGATGTAAGGCTGATGCAATGGGACCAAGGGAATTTGGCAGAAGAAAGTTAATTCGGAGCCCTGGCTACCCTGGTCCATACTCCACCCTTCTGACAAGAATCCAGTCCCTGGAGGAGTGGGGGAGGGGCTAAGTGGTGGAGCTAAAATCTTTGGGCTAAACCTCCAGACAGCTGGGGAAGGTACAGAAGCCTACCTGCTTGGGCCTTGTGGGATGGCTCTACCAGGAGGCTGCCTGTGCAACTCTGGCAGATTTGAGCCTGGCCTGACACTGCCTTTTGTGTAGCTTATGTCAAGATCAAATGGCATGTCACAGTGGTTTCCTCGCTATGTCTGAGACTTGCAGGGCTGGCCCCAAGTCCCCCACCAAGGGGTGTTAACGTTGTAGAGATTGCCCTTCCCCTCTTGCCCACTGGTGGCTGGGCTCCTGGTGTGCACTGGGTCTCACACCTCTCACCCTGTGGTGGGTTGTGGCCCTTTGCTAAGGCAGAGTGGCAAAGTAGGCTGGCTTCTCCGGGATGCACCCAGACCCCACTCAACTAGGGTGCTGGGATCAGGCTGTGCAGTTGAGAGGTGGTTTTACTGTAAACAAGAGTCCCTCCTCAGAGTTCCCCATCTTTTCCTGGCCCCTGACCTCATGCCTTCAGTTGCCTTGATTTTAAGGTATCCTTAGGGCCTCACCTGGTGTTGAGGAGGCCCCAGGCAGGTGGCAGAAAGAAGCCAGATGATTCTGCTTTGCTGTCTCTACCCATAGTATGCAGAACCAGGAGCAGTGATGGGTTCTTCTCATCAGGCCTCAAGCTTTGTTGTCAGTTTCCAAAGGCTGCCCCACAGGCCATTTTTCAGAGTGGCCCACCCAGGGCTCATCTCCCTGCCTGTGACATGGATTACAGCGGGATGGGTTCCTTAAGGGCCCTATGTCCATGCTGGCCCATCTTTCAGGATGAGCCTGTGGAGTGGGAGACACCTGATCTTTCTCAGGCTGAGATTGAGCAGAAGATCAAGGAGTACAATGGCCAGATTAACAGCAACCTCTTCATGAGCCTGGTGAGTTGACAGCCCGAGAAGGGGATGTGGGGAGAGGCAGGAACCCAGCTGTGTGCCTGATGCCCAAAGGGTCACAGCTGAGGTATTCTTGGGTGGGCCCAAGCAGTGATTTATTCACACTCAGCGTCACCCTAAGTGGACTGGCAGTGAGTGCCTGAATCTGTTCCATCTCACTTGGAACCTAGTCATGGTTCGGTTTCTCCTCTTCAGAACAAGGATGGCTCCTACACAGGCTTCATCAAGGTTCAACTGAAGCTGGTGCGCCCTGTCTCAGTGCCCTCCAGCAAGAAGCCACCCTCCTTGCAGGATGCCCGGCGGGGCCCAGGGCGGGGCACAGCTGTGAGGCGCCGCACCTCCTTCTACATGCCCAAGGATGCTGTCAAGCACCTGCATGTGCTGTCACGCACACGGGCACGCGAGGTCATTGAGGCCCTGCTGCGCAAGTTCTTGGTGGTGGATGACCCCCGCAAGTTTGCGCTTTTTGAGCGGGCTGAGCGCCATGGCCAAGGTGGGCTTACCACCCCACCCCACCGGTGTGTGAGGGTATATACGCATGCACCTGTGCATGTAGGGGCTGAGGGGGCTGGGCCTGACTTTAATCAAACACTCTCTCCCCCCTGCCTGGCCCTCAGTGTACCTCCGGAAGTTGTCTGATGATGAGCAGCCCCTGCGGCTGCGGCTCCTTGCAGGGCCCAGTGAGAAGGCCCTAAGCTTTGTCCTGAAGGAGAATGACTCTGGGGAAGTAAATGTGAGTACACAGCCATCCTTAGTTTCTTGGTGGTTACTGGGCCAGGTTAGTGGGTTACAGCTACAGGAAGGCTTGGAGGAGGAATGGGGCTGGAGGACAAGCCCTGCAAAGCCTCTCCAGGACTATGTGAGCCTTGCAGCTAAAGTGAAGGCTTCAAGGCCACTCATGCCAAGGTCTAGGACTTGTCCCGAGAAGCCAGGAAGAATTGTTTTGGTGCTCTGCTCTTTTCCATTATGGAAAGTCCTCAGTAGATGCAGGAGTCCATCTGATGGCATGGTGATCCCAGGCCAGATCAAAGCCATAACGGATGGGCCCAGGACATAATGGAGGCCCCCTCTTCAAGCATTAGGACTTTTTACCGAGAAATTTTCCAGCTCCAAGGTATTGGGTCTGTAGAGTGGGATTAGACTCAGAGTGTGGGCATGACCTGTCCATAGGTAACTCGAGAACATCTGGTTTGGTTGCCTGTCCAGAAAGTGACTGCCCTACTTTGTGGGGCCCATCTTCTATATGGACTATTGTCAGGAATCCTAGCATAGACCATTCAGGCAAGAGCCTGACATTAGAAAGTCCCATCCTAGCTGTGTGACCATGATGTGCTGATCTTCTCTGGGGAGGGCCTGCTGGCTTGGCCATGATTGCTGCGGCCTATGTCCTCTTCCCTCCCTCCAGTGGGATGCCTTCAGCATGCCTGAACTACACAACTTCCTGCGCATCCTGCAGCGGGAGGAAGAGGAACACCTTCGCCAGATCCTGCAGAAGTACTCCTATTGCCGCCAGAAGATCCAGGAGGCCCTGCATGCCTGCCCCCTGGGGTGACCTCTTATACCCTTGAGTGGAAGGAGGAGAGTAGGCAGCGCCGAGGGCATGCCGTGTGAGTGTGATAGGGCCCGTGTGGCCTGAGGAATGAGTGTGCATGGAGGCCCTCTCTTGCTGGGGGAACGAGCCAGAGAAGAGCGAAGGAGCTGGCCCCCTGTGTCCACCAGTGGGTGTAGCAGAGTATGGCTCTGGACCCTTCTGCCCTTCATGTACTGGGTCGTGGTGGGCCAGGGTTGCCCTGGGAAGCTGCTCCAGGCTTGCAGCAGGGGTAGAGCAGATGGAAGTCTCCTTAATTAGTGTCTCAGATATGAGAATCTTGGAGATTCTACAAACAGAATAGGGTCATGTTTGTAGGGATGAGGGCCCTCATCTAAGGGGAAAAGTTGTATGTTTTGAGTCTTGGATGGGGTCTCAGGACAGCTCTATCAGAGCCAAGGGTGGGTATTCAGGATAAGGCAGGCATCGAGGAAAGTCTAGGTTTCCCTCTACAGTGCCCTCTGACTCTTCACACACCTGGGATCAGGGAGTGCTGGCTCACAGTGCAGCAACAGTGCCTCAGTGCCTCCTCCAAGGAGGATGTCCCTGGGCCAAGGTTTGTGTGAGTGTGGGCACTGTCCCAGGTCTGTGCCTTGTGTGCCAATCAAAGACAGGGTCTTTCCTTCCGGTATTTTTGATGATGTGTGCGAATGTATGTTAATATTTTGTGGCCTCAGCTGAATGCCTCCTGTGGGGAAAGGGGTGGGGGTGACAGTCATCATCAGGGCCTGGGGCCTGAGAATTGGCTGAATAAAGATTTAAGAATTCTCCCTACTTTTGGACTCTTTATTATGGGCCCTCAACCGCAGTTGCCCCTCATGCCAGTGGCTGCCATGGGTGATGGATAGGCTCACAGAGCACCTTTTCGATGTCACCATGGGACCAATTTGTGAAGGATGTCGGGTATGGATATGTACTCAGTCATCACTCAGCCCCCTGGGGCTCAGGTCGTGTGGGGGCAAGAATATCAGCTGAGGCTAGAGCTTAGGGAAACCACACGTCCCCCAACACACACACCCGAGCCGTGGGAGGCGCTTCACCAAATATTTATTGGGCTCCTACTGAAGACCAGACACTGCTCATGGCACCGAAGGTACAGCTGTTAATTCTCTCTTCATGAAACATGCATGGTGGGTTTGGAAAGAACACTGAATTTGAAATAAATCAGTGTGGGAATAGAATGAAGCCAGACAAGCACCCCGCGGCCTGGTCTGAGGTAGGGACATAGTGGTTGGGCACGCCGCTGCACATGACCTCTTCTTTGCCCTACACGAAGAAAAAGCCAGGACGCCACAGCCGCAGCTTTCCTGGGTGTCAGATGCCCCAGCTGGATAGAGTGTGGCTTGCTGGGATCTGACGTCTCACAGGGCATGCTGGGATATCTAGCGCCCGAGGGCGGCTATTGGTCCCGCCCCGCGGACCGACGAGAGAAGCAGCCAATCAGAGGGAAGATCATGCGGAAGCGGAAATGAGGTTTCCGTGGAGACAGCGGAGCCTGCGGAAGGCGGCGGCCGTGGTGGCACCTGCGAGCCGAGGCCGAGGAAGGGCATGGCAGCGCAGACGGCCCTGTGAGAGCGAAGCGGCCGCGGGGCCCGCCATGCGCCGGCGGCCCTGACATGGGCGCCAGCGGCTCCAAAGCTCGGGGCCTGTGGCCCTTCGCCTCGGCGGCGGGGGGCGGCGGTCCGGAGGCTGCGGTCGCTGAGCAAGCTTTGGTGCGGCCGCGAGGCCGAGTCGTGCCCCCCTTCGTATTCACGCGCCGCGGGTAAGGACGCGGGTTCCGCGCTGGGGAGGACAGGCAGGTAGCCGGGCGCCCCGCGTCGTGGGGAGTTCCCGCTGCGGTAGCCCTACACCCAAGCCAGGACAACTCCCATATTTCGGGCCCCCATAGGAGCAAGGGGTGGGGAAAGCCGGGCAGTCGGTTCTTGGCTGTCTGGCTGGCTGCTCTGAAGGTCTCCCTAGGGGAAGAACGTGCCTGAGACTTGTCTCTGGGCAAGCTCTCCGCAGACTAAAGCTAAGATAGGGCCTCCCTGAGACTTCAGGACCTCTTCCATTCATCCCTTCCAGCCCAGCCTGCAAGTTGAAGGCTCCTAGCCTCCCCCTCCCCCAATTCTTATAGGGGAGTATGACCCTGTTTTGCCTGTTTGCGTTCTCTACCGTGGGGGGTGGGGACGTCTGAGGGTAGTGGCCTGGAAAGCAGGACTGGGCCCTAGTGTTGGGATGGGGCCTGAAGAAAAGACCCTCACCCAGATATGTTCTCCAGATCTGGAGCACTGACCTCCTCCCTCTCCCCCAGGGGCCCAGGCAGGAGCACTAGATTTGCCTGGTCCTGGTGGGCCTCTAGGGACGCACTGAGGTGTTGCTGGAGATTTGGCTGTAGATACTCTGGGGACCTAACAGTGACAATTTAGCTGCGCCAGTCACCTGGGAGTGGGTGGGGAGAAGGCAGCCTTTTTCCCTTTAGGCTCTCTCCTAGCTCAGGCATCTGTTATCTCAGGCTTTGGCCCTGGGTCAGCAGTGTCTTCTGGAGTGAGACCAACATGCCAGGCCACCACCCTGCCCACTCTAGAAGTCCTGGGTGAAAGCAAGGGCCTGATGTTGGAATGGCTACTCTTGCTGAACAAACCAGTGATGAGAACTGGCCTTAGCTGCCTGGACAGTGTGCTCTGGTATGGCCTCTCTTCTCGGGGTCTGACAGAGTAGCACTGGCCACCACCCCACTCCCCACTTCCTTCTAGTAGACCCCAGACCCTAACCAAGGGACTCTCCGGTTATATTTTCTTCCCTTTTTCCCATCAAGGTTGTTCCTTGTCATTTGGGGGTGGGCACACTTCCCTGTGGTCTGTGGCATTTGTCATGACCAGGTGTGGGGCTCTAGCCCAGCCTGTTCCCCTCTCCCTCTGCACAGCTCCATGTTCTATGACGAGGATGGGGATCTGGCTCACGAGTTCTATGAGGAGACAATCGTCACCAAGAACGGGCAGAAGCGGGCCAAGCTGAGGCGGGTGCATAAGAACTTGATTCCTCAGGTGAGGGGCTGAGCAGTGGTCATAGAGCCTATGTTGAGTGTGTAGAGGTAGACCCAGATAGGGTCTGCTGTCATGGTGGGGGCTCTTGGGGGAGGAGCTGGGAGAAACAGGAAGGCTTCCTGGATTAGGGGCCCTGAGCTGGCCCTCACTGTCCTCTGTTTCCAGGGCATCGTGAAGCTGGATCCCCCCCGCATCCACGTGGATTTCCCTGTGATCCTCTATGAGGTGTGAGCCTGGAGAGTGGCAGGCATAAGCACCTCCTGGCCCAGCAAGAAACCTCCAGGCTCAAGGTTTGGCTTCCAGTGAGGAACCTAGGCTGGGGCCACAACCCTGAATAAACTCCATTGGCCTGGAATCTTCAGCTGTGAGCGGGGCAGTCCTGCAATGTTGATTGGGTGTTGGTTTGTATGTGGACAAGAGGTGGCTGGTGGTTGGCAAGGGATAATGGTGGAGTTACCAGCCCACCTTCCCCAGCAGTCTCTACAAGGAGCATGGCAGGGCATATACTGGTCAGGAATGCCTGGTTCCTGTCCCCTTGCCTGGCCTGCTTTCTTCCAAGCTTGCCTAGGGCCCAGCCCTGGTAGGGACTACAGCACTTTACAAGCAAGGTCTGCCTTCTTCCAGCCCTTGGGCTGTGGGAGCTGTACAGAAGTGGGAACTTCCTTTCCCTCACTTCCCTTACCCCTTCATTGGAGCATTTCAGCCGTTTGCTACCTCGATTCCTCCTGTGTTGGACAGAGGCTGGGGGCAGCACAAGCCTGATTCTTCCTGCCCATCTGTTCCCACCCCCAGATAGATGGACAGTTTGCTGGCTGTTAATAAGAGTAGGACTGGTGTGGAAGGCTTTTCCCTTCACCCAGGGCTGGGCTGATACCTTCCCAGTGCAACTAGTTGTTGCCCTCCACCCCCACTGCCGGTTGAGAGGGCATAAGATGGGAATGAGGAAGGGCTATGGATGCCTATGCCTAGGGGGAGTTGCCTCAACCCACCTACTCTGTCTAATCCCCTTTGCCTTTGCACCAGCCTCCCCCCCCACACACACCCCCCATTGGGAGGAGACCATCCACTACCCTATGGTGAGGAAGAGCACCCTAGGGCTGGTGCCAGTAGCTCTGAGGAGCCCACCATCCCTTCCCCTACAGTATACCCATCCCTTCAGGATCAGTCAAGGGAAAGTACTGGCGACCCTGGGTAGGGACAGAAAGGAGAATAACCATCAAAGGAATACTTAAAATGTGAAAGTTTGTAAATAGTCTAGTTTATGATGTTGTTGGTGCAGAGTCTGATTTCTACATAGAAATGACTATGACTTTTTTTTTTTAATTCCTTACTGTGCAAGCTCTGTGCTTCAAGAGTGTGGGAAATGGCTTGGGGAGGGTGGCCCCCAATCTAGGAAGGCTGTTGTTGTGTTTTTTGTTGTTTCAATAAAATTATTTGTAGACCCTACATACAAGAGTGGCATGCTCTGAAGCTGTGACACCCAGTGTTTAGACCACCATCTAGGCTCAATAGGTAGCCCTGGGCCCAGGACTCTGGTTGCCCCATCTCTAGCAAGGCCCAGGGTAAGCTTGAGCCCAGCTTGTGGCCATCCCAGCCATGACCAGCAGGTGGCAGTGTCTTCACACAGACCTCAGGATAGAGGGCCACTCAACTGGTCTGTTGAGTTCAATAGTTGGAGATCCCTGGAATTGGAAGGCTTTGGGATACTTCACTGTGGATTGGCCCCACCTGTCTGACCTGAGGTGAGAATGTGACCTCAGATAGGTCTCGAACAGCTGTCCTGCCCCCAGCAGTGCCAGCTGACCCCGCATGAGGTCACAGCCTGAGCCCCATGGACCTCCGAGGCCCAGCCTTAGGTGGACAGTAGCCAAATGGATGCCACCATGTTCTTGGCCTACTGCCAGGCTCTGTAGCCCAAACCCACCTGCCTCCCAGGGCTACCTGTGGACACCACCAGCAGAGTGGGCTTGGGGCTTCTGTTCCAGCAGGCAAAGCTCAGCCACCCAATACTTCGCCTGTTCCCTGCTGCCCTTGTCTTCTCACCTGCAGCCCGTGTCCTGTGGACTTTAAGCCTACAGTTCTCAAGACTCGCTATGAGTCGGGTTCTCTGCTAGACGTAGCCCTTGGACATCAGCCCAACTCCCAGTTAGGGAGGAGGGAGTTCAAGGACCCAGACTTCTGGGTCTGGTGAGTTGGCCTGCCAGTCTTTTGGAGGCTTAAACTTGTCAAGTCCAGAGCAGGATCATCCTCTGCAGCCTGGATTTGCAGTTCTTTGGGTACCTTTCCATTTTCCTGATAAGATGCCAGACATAAGGCTCTGTCATCCTCCACTGTCCTCCCTACTAACTGCCCCAGGGCCAGGTGGTGTCCCATCTCCCATCACCACTGTCCCAGTGTGGGGGAACTCCCTGTGCTGGGGCTGCCCCAGCTGACCCCAAAGCTGGAAACAATGGGGGTCAGGGCAGTGCTTCCCCACTCCCTCCCACTGGGCTGTGCTCACTTCCTTCCTGCTGGCTGCCTGAGGAAGTGTCCCTGCCCTGGGACAGTCTGGCCTGGCCTTTGTTTCCCCAGGGTCCCCTACCCTTGGACCTTCCAAGGCCTGTGTCTCTTGTAGAGCCAGCAAGGTGATACAGGGACACAGCCCTCCCATGCCATGTCCTGGACTCCTTGGTCATCAGGGGCAGGTTCCAGGGTATGTACCCACCTCCCCCAGTCCCCCAATTTAACAAAGCCTTCTGTTAGGAGAGAGGCCCTGGGCATCAGGGAGATGGCCCAGTAGGGTCAGGGGGGTAGGCTCAGGGTGATTTGAGGGTGTGCAGATTTGTCTGCACCTCTGGAGGGGTCAGCTAGGGCCCTGCAGCAGCCGTCCCTGGGGCCAGCTGCATTATGGGCACCCCCTTCCCACAGGAATATGCCCCTTTCCTCACTCATGTTGTAAGGAGCTCCCTACTCTGCAGTGTCTCAGAGAAATCCACCCAGGAATGTCCTTCAGTAGAATAGCACCCTGCAGAACCGTCTAGCCCCTGCCCCAACCCCCCACCCTGCACAGTCACACACATCAACACATTGTCCACTCTGTCACACTTGGGACGTTTCCGCTCTCAGTGGAAAAAAATTGACTCAGCTCCTGGCTGAGAGTTCCCCCAACCCCCCTCTAGGACTAGTTCCCTTCTTCACCACCTGCTTTTGGGGGCTAGCAGCTGAGCATCCCCCAAGTATTTTGACTCCTTGAAGCACCACCACGAGGGGCCCTCTACTCACATGCTACTGGATTTAAGGATGTGCTTCAATCCCGAGGGAAGGTTGGGGAGAAGAGCTTTCAGTATTAAGGAAGCTGCCGGCATGGAGGAGGCTGGCACCTGAACTGGGTCCCACAGCCTTCCTGTCACCTGGTGCAGTTCCCAGGGCCAGGGTCTACTCAGGGGAAGGGTGGAGAGGGCAGCCAGCCAGCAGGGCAAGCCGGAGGGAAACAGGGTCAAAGCGGTCCCCTCCCCCGCGCCTGTTCCTGGCCCTTTCCTTTCGGAGGGGCAGCAGGAAGTGAGGAGAAAGGGCTGGGGTGGGAGGCGGGAGCGGGTGGGAGGGGATGGGGTTTATCAAGTCGCCGGCGGGCTGCCCCTCGGGCAGCAGCTGGCGCGAGTAGCTTGGCTGGAGAGGCTCACCCCGGGAAGGAGGGAGGCCGCCGATCTACTGGGCCGACGGACTCCCACACAGGTGAGCCCAGCGCAGACGACTGATCTGCACTCCCATAGATGCGCTCACAGCAGCGCTCCCTCCCTCCCCTCCCAGGCGTTCGGGCGGGGAATGGGCTGGCGGGGCAGACCTGGGCCCTTTGGGGAGCTGAACTCCGCACAGGGGAGCAGATCTAGGAAGAGGCGAGGAGGTCTTGCCCCTGTCCAGCTCCAAGCCTGCGGGAGGGGCTTGCGGGGCGAAAGGGCTCAGGATACCAGGTGGAGGCACGGGGGAGCCGTCTTTTTCCGCGGTCCGGCCAGGTGGCAGCCTCCCCAGAGTTGAAAGGAAGCCCTGGGGGCTCCCACAGGCCCCCCAGAGACTAAGCAGGAGGGGACCCGGGAGCCCAGGGATTGGCCTGTCCCTGATCCAGGTATGGGGCAATGGGGCGCCCTACCCCCAGGCCACGCTGGGCTTACCGGCCCCCTGCACCGCCAGCCACGCTGCGACCCACAGCTCATGTTGCCAGGACAACCACTGCCTCGGCCCAGCCCCCGGAGGGCTGAGAGGCGGGTGCTTGGCCCCCTCCCCCAATCTGGCTGGGGACGGGGCTTCCCTGCAGACCAGGGAATGGGGGGAGGGGAGCCCAGATCCGTGGGCGGCTGGACATTACTGTCCTGGGAGGCCGGAGATCGGTTCTGGTCACAGTCCCCCTTTCCACACAAAGGGGCCCCAGGACTAGGGGCTACACTCGCATGCAGAGCCAGATCCGCTGCTGCCCCCAGCCAAGGCCTTGGGGTCCCACAGCACCTCCTGATGGCCGGACAGGGGAACGCTACCTCCTTTATTCCCTCCCTGACTCCCGTCCCTATGCTGTCCCTTTAAGCGGCTGGCCGCGCCGCGGAGCCGGGAGGACTGTACCACTGGCCGCGGGCTGCGGGGGGGGAATCTCGGGCTGACTGGCGCTTGCGGCTGAGACTCCACATGAAAGCCCCCTTCGGAGGGGCCTCACGGTCTCTGATGGGTGGCCACGTTCCTCGGCGGAGGATCTGGGGACCTTGGAGCCCGAAACGTAGCACTGGCGGCGCGAAAGTCGGGCACACCTTCCCGCCACGGCCGCAAGTCCTGCCCCGAGCCCCCCCTCTGCGCTGGATTCTTAAAGGGCCCGCGGGCCGGGGGGCGGAGCCAGTACAGGCGCCGAGCCGGGGCAGTGCCTGGGCAAAAGGCTGGAGCGGGCCAGGCTGGGCTGGGCCGGGGATGGCGGTGGCCATGGCGCAGGTCCCGGGGGCGCCCCGCGCGAGGTGAGGGCGGGCAGTGCAAGCCTGGCGGCTCTCTCCCGGTGGGCTGAGTTCTGAACCCCCGGGGATGAGCCCAGGGAGGTGGCCCGGAGGCCCCACCCCCCACCCGGCCGGGCTCAGGCCCCACGTGCGGGGCGGGGGCGGGGTCCCGCACAAAGGCCGAGCGGAGTGAGCTCTAGCCCCGACCCGCCTGGCCGGCGGGCGGGCGCGCGCATTCCCGGGGGCTGTGGAGGGACGGGTCGGTCTGCCGGGGCCACCGTGGGAGGTCCGCTGCCCCTTTGTCCCCGCGGGGCCTCCATCAAGCTTGGGAGAGTGTCTGCGCTCGAGACAAATTCCTGACAGCGTTACTCTTCTGCCGGGCGGGTGCTACACAGATACCAACTACGAGGCTGTGTTCCAGCTTCCTAGCCGATGCATGAGCTGTGCCTTGCCTTACTTATCCAAATGCTATCCTTTCTCTGCACCAAGAGTTGTTCACGGGGCAGAGAGGGGGCCTCTGGTTGGCGGCTCTCTGAAACCATGTGCTGGGTGGTATGCAGGCATGTGTTTGTCTCTGGGCATCAAGTCCACAGCTCAATTCGTCTGATTCTCAGAGGGGTCACAGACCTAACAGACGTCCTTGCCCAGCCATAGGCCACCTGCTCCAGAAAGGAGCCTATGCTCCTGGCAGTGAGTTCCCAGGGTGTCTTGCCTGCCCCTCAGTGGCCTGTGGTCTCTCAGACCTGTTACACCCATGTAACAGGATCTGAACAGCCCTGGGCATGGTGCCTCACACAGCATGGGCTTTGGGAGTGTAGGTGGGTTTGGGGTAGGCCCCTCCAGGATTCTCTAGACTGACTGGCTCGCTCTCACCCTTCCCCCAGTTCCTGAGCTGGTGCCAGGCAGGTGACACCGTCTTCCTGCAGCCCCCAGCATGTGGGCAGGCCCGGACCCTGCCATCACACTGGCCCTGGTATTGGCGGTGGCATGGGCCACAGAGCTCAAGCCCACAGCACCACCCATCTTCACGGGCCGGCCTTTTGTGGTAGCATGGGACGTGCCCACACAAGACTGCGGCCCACGCCTCAAGGTGCCCCTGGACCCAAAGAAGGACCTGACTGTCTTCGATGTGCAGGCCTCACCTAATGAGGGTTTCGTGAACCAGAATATCACCATCTTCTACCGTGACCGGCTGGGCCTGTATCCACACTTTGACTTGGCAGGGAGCTCTGTGCATGGTGGCGTACCACAGAACGGCAGCCTCTGGGCACACCTGAAGATGCTGCGGGACCATGTGGAGCACTACATTCGTACGCAGGAGCCTGCAGGGCTGGCGGTCATCGACTGGGAGGACTGGCGGCCTGTGTGGGTGCGCAACTGGCAAGACAAGGACGTGTACCGCCGGTCATCACGCCAGTTGGTGGCCAGTCGCCACCCTGACTGGCCATCAGACCGCGTAGTCAAGCAGGCACAATATGAGTTTGAGTTTGCCGCACGGC